GGTTGCCCCCAGGGCATCCCCAGTTGCCCCAAGGAGGTTCCCAGTTGCCTCCAGGGGCTTCTGAAGGGTCCCCGGTTGCCTCTGGGGGGGTCCCAATGGGTCCCCAGTTGTCCCTGGGGACTCCCAGAGGTTCTCCAGTTCCTCCAGGGGCTGCTGAGAGGCTCCCAGTTGCCCCCAGGAGGCCCTATGTTGTTCCCAGTTGCCCTCAGGAGCTTCCAGAATGGTCCCCAATTGTCTCCAGGGGCTCCCAGAGGGTCCTTCTGAAGGGTCCCCGGTTGCCTCTGGGGGGGTCCCAATGGGTCCCCAGTTGTCCCTGGGGACTCCCAGAGGTTCTCCAGTTCCTCCAGGGGCTGCTGAGAGGCTCCCAGTTGCCCCCAGGAGGCCCTATGTTGTTCCCAGTTGCCCTCAGGAGCTTCCAGAATGGTCCCCAATTGTCTCCAGGGGCTCCCAGAGGGTCACCAGGTCCTCCAGGGGTTCCCAAGGGGATCCCAATTGCCCCCAGGGGCTCCCAGGGGATTCCCAGTTGCTCGGGTTGCCCCCAGAAGGCCCTAGGTAGGTCCCAAATGCCCCCAAAAGCTCCCAAGTGGCTCTCAGTTGCCCTCAGGAGGCCCTAAGTGGTTTCCAGGTGCCCCCAAGGGCTCCCAAGTGGCTCCTAGTTGCACCTAGGAGGTCCTACATTGTCCCCAGTTGCCCTCAGGAGCTTCCAGGGTGGTCCCCAATTGTCCCCAGGGACTCCCAGGGGATTCCCAGTTACCCCCAATGGCTCCCAGTTGCTCCCAGGAGGCCCTAGGTGGTTCCCAGTTGCCTTCAGGGAATCCCAAAGGGTCCTCAGTTGCCCCCTGTGGGTCTGGGGGGGTTTCGGGTTCCCGCAGAGGCTCCCAGTCCCCCCAGCTGCCCGGGACCCCCCGTGCCCCACCTGGGCAGGTTGTAGAGGGGCGTCATGCGGAAGCAGGCCACCACGGCGCGCCGGCGCTGCTTCGACAGCAGCTTGTGCCACACCGCCTTCTTGGACTTGTAGGGGTGCTCCATCTGGGGGGGGACCCCAGCATCACCCAGGAGACCTGGGTACCCCCGGGACCCCCCAGAGCATCCCAGGAACTCCTCCTCTGGGTCTCCAAAACATCCCAGGGACCTCCAGAGCATCCCAGGGACCTCTCTGAGGACCCCAAGAGCACCCTGGGGACCCCCTAGACCACCTCCAAGACCCCAACCTGCATGAGGTGGTGGGGCACAGCCAACACCTCCTGCACCCCAGGGATCTCCCCAGGACCCTTCAGTGCCCCCCGCCCCAGATCCGCAGAGACCCTCCAGGACCCCCCAGAAGCCCCTGACCTGCTCGAGGTGGTAGAGCACGGCCGACACCTCCTGCACCCTACGGACAATCTTCTCAGGGCTGTCTGAGTCCTCGGCCTTCCCGGCCATCTCACGGTACAGGGCCATCTGCCACCGCATGGACGAGGAGTTCTCGCACTGGGGAACACAGGGATACAGTGACTGTGGGGACACGGGCGCCGCAGGGACCATGTGGACAACAGGACCGTGGAGACACGGTGGGGGGGACACAGCAGCACGCAGGCACTGTGGGGACCGAGGGGACTTAGGGAACACAGGGACATGGAAGGACACAGGGGCACACGAAGACATGGGCACTGGTGTGACCATGGGGACATGGTGAGGACAAGGGGGACTATGGGGGAGAACTATGTGGTTTAGAGTGGGAACATAGGCGTTTATGGAGGGGACATGGTGGGACATGGGGTTTTGGGGGGACATGGGGGGGACTGGGGCTCACCTTGCCCTGCAGGTGCAGGTTGTTGTTCAAGAACTCCCTCACTTCCTCATCTGTGTCTTTCTGCAGGGGTGGACATGGCCATGTCAGGGGC